TTGATGAACTTTGGTATGGTGATAGCTGGTTATCCGGGTCAATATATAGGACCGCGGGAAAATGTCTCATTTCTGAGACAAAATACAAAAACTGTAATGTAAGAGTATACTAATATGTAAAACCTAAGAATTTGGTTTTTGGTCATCTGAACGCGGGCGGAGCCGCGGGCAATGCTAGTAAAATATATATGTGGACTAAGTAAGTCCATCATTTGCACTCCACAAAACGTCAAAATACGTCGCGGTAGACCTAGATGCAGGTGGAGGGATGACCTGGATGCCTTTCAAAAACTGGTTATCACCAGAAATAGAGTGAGTCAGATTGGAAGGAGAAGAAAGAAGTCTTTTCCCAGCAGTGAGACATTAACAGCTAAAAAAAGTATATACGTTTACTTAAGATTTGCTAGTGGCCTTGTCTATCATACTAAGATAAAGCAAAATTAAATCCTTTTCACTTTCATTTTCTATCCACTATTGAAATTATCGTTAAAATTGGTAAACTATTTTCATTTATGATATAAGTAAATACAAACATACAGACAGATAGAAAGACAGACTTGTTTAAGATTTCTCAGTCTAGTTTGACATCTAGCAAAGTTTGTTAGCATATCTGTTTGTTTGTACCGAATAAGCGTCGAAAGTACTGAACCGATTTAGATAAAATTTAGTAAGAAGATAGGTTTTATTCCGGAAATCATCCCTTAAGGGGGTGAAAATGGGGATGAAAGTATGTATAAAGAAGCAACTTAGAGACGAGCTAGGGTGAGTCGCTAGTTATGTCATAAAATAAATCCATCCAATGTTATAAGTTTTACTATTTTTTTTGTAACCGTATTTTTAATCAAAAAGTGTCTGACAAAGCATAAACACGACAACGCTACTAAGGCGACATTACCCATAGATCTGAACTATATAAGTAACTCACGGTTTTGTGTTCTTTATGGTTATGTAAATAAGGTACATATTAGCTTGGGATATTTTATTATTCTATGAACTACCCAAGTAAATATACCCAAAGGTCGTTGCGTAAATCATGTTGTATTCCACCTTCTTAGTCTTGTATGAAATATTATATTAGTGTCGTTTGTTTTCAGCCAAATCACTTGGTACAGTCAACAAAAAAAAATATTTTTATATTATAACATAAAATCAGAATAGATTTTCTTAATTTACAGCTAAGAACACTTCCGATCAAGTCACCTCGTTTCAAACAAAAAAAAAACTAAATAAAAAATTTGTTCATTGGTTTGGCCACAGACAGACAAATAAACACACAAAGACACATGTTAAACTTATAGCATCCGTCTTTTTGCGACGGGGGTTAAAAAAATATTTGTTCAACTTTGCTTACTTCTCTATAATTTAAGTTTATTTATATAGATACAAAATTAAAACTGTTTATAATTACCGTCTATATAAATAGTTCGATATAACTCTATTTACCGGGTAAATTAAACTTTATTTAACGCTAATTACTCAAAACACCTCGTGGGCGTATCTGACAAGTGCCTTTACAAAACAGCTTATAAACTAAGTGTCGGGAAATGTTTAGGAACTTATAACTATTCACTTTGTTGTATGAAATTTAACAATCAAATTATGTCTAATAATCTATACATATAATAAAAGTGTAACTGATCGCAGTCTGGATGGAAGATATTTGAGATATTCTATTATTGGAGATCATTATTAACGCAATAGAACCCAAAACAATGATTTTTAGATTTTTTGTCTGTTTGTCTGTACGATTGTGCGTGCTAATCTCAGAAACGACTTAACCGATTTGGGTGCGGTTTTCACCAATGTATTATAGTAAGTTTTACCTAATATTGAGTAATTGTTTTATTTGAATCGGTTCATAAATAAAAAAGTTATGCAATTTAAAAAAGAACACCTAGTGTACACGCTAGTGTGTAAATATGAAGGATTAGTTATTTTAATGAAGCTTTTAAATAATTATGTGTCTTAATTTAAGTGCAGGATATATAATAGTCTTAAGAAATTCGTAATAGAAAAAAAGGTGGAAATAATATAACATGACCTATGACATACCTATTATATTTGTCACTAGCATTGCCCGCGGCTCCGCCCGCGTTTAGATGACCAAGAACCAAATTCTTAGGTTTTACATATAAGTGTACTCTAACATTACAGTTTTTGTATTTTTCTCAGAAATAAGACATTTGCCCGCGGTAAAAAGTATTCTATATGTTGGCCCGGATAACCAGCTATCATCATACCAAATTTCATCAAAATCCTTTCAGTAGTTTTCTTGTGATGCGGTAACAGACAGACAGACAGACAAAAATTCTAAAATCTATAGATTCGGCCTCTGTATCGATAATAATGTCTATTTGAATAGGAATTTCCAAAAAATGTATAATGTACAGAATCGGCTTAGTTACAATTATATTATACTCGTATGTAAAAAGGTTGTAAAAATACTGAATTGAAATTGGTAGAATTAATTGCGACACATATTCAGAAGTTTATTGACAAATTGTCTTTAGTAGAGTATAAGCAAAATTATTTTTAAAATCTCACAAAATACTTTTTAAATAAAGCTGAAAAATAGATAACAAGCAGCCCTACCCACTCGCTCTCATTATAGCCCACAATCCTTAACCGCTAAACATGAACCTCGTTTTGAATAGAGTGTAGGGAATGTAGAGCTGCTCTCCCCTAAATCTACTCGACCAATTAATACGAAATTTAGCTACATTTTTAATTAAGGCTGTAACTTCTACGAAAATTAAGTTCTGGAATATTCTTCAAACACTGTTTGCTTAAACCAATAGAAATATCAATAGAAAGAAGCAATGTACGAATATTTTTTAAATACGTACTAATATTAATAATGTGAAAATGTGTTTGCTTGTCTGTAATTTTTTCACGTCGAAACAGAGTGACGAATTGGCGTGATTTTTTTATGGAAATAATATATTACCGCAGGAGATTATCCCATTCTCACGGGAAAACACGTTATAATAGAATCCAAAGAATAATTATGATCAGTATTACCTAAAACTTAATATTAATGCTCTTCAATACAATTAAATAAATACGTGTTTTAGCATTTTTCAAAATTCATCCCATAAAGGGGTAAAATACGGGATGAAAGTTTTTATAAAATCTACCTCTTAGAGTTTTTTTATAGTTTTAGCGCGAGCGAAGCCACGGGTTCTGCTAGTATTATTATAAAAAAATTGCTCACGATACAATTTTATTACGCATAATATGTACATATAAAACATATTGTTAATATTAAAAATATGAACACGGAAAATTTAAATACTGATTAATATGCACATATAAAGTAAATTAAAACTAAAGTAAAACTGTAGTAAACAGCTAGTACAATAACAATAAAATGTAAATGCGTTTCACGCTACGGCGCGATAGTGCGGAGTACTGGGGCAAATTGAACATTACAATGTATGGTTATCTCACACATAGAGACCCAGAATTTATATTTATTGTCTGAAACAATAAAATTATAATATTAACACTTTCACGCTACTTTTTCGAGAGAATGTAGAGACTAATCTAGAGTTCTACATTTTTTATGTATTTTCCGTGGATGGTCTGAAGAAGTAAATATTCGTAGACTTAAATTATACTGTTAAAATATTTGTTTTTTCAGATATAGTACAGATAATACAGATTCTAGATAGAATAATTACATAATTGTAAAAAAAAACATGTTTTAAAACAAGCAATGCTCTAAAAATAAGAAAACTAACTTTAAATTGAATAAAAACCAACAATTTATTACATTACACAATTTATAACATATAAAAGCTTTTCGCGAGATTTACCTATTTTGTAAAAAATATATATTATTTTTGAACATTTTGTTTCTTGTTTATCTTCACAGATAAATCTCGCGACAAGGTTTTATATCATACTAGCGACTTACCCTCATCCCGCTCGGGTTCGTCCGTAGTTATGTTTTAACATTATTATAGGTTTCTCACAGATGAGATATTTTCCCGGAGTGAAAACTATCCTATCCGGATAACCAGCTATCATCATACCAAATTTCATCAAAATCTGTCCAGTGGTTTCTGGTGGTTGGTGGTGGTTTTCTGGTTACAGACAGACAATCAAGAATTCTAAAAATTATATATTCGGCCTCTGTATCGATAATAATGACTTTTTCAATAAGATTTTCTAAAAAATATTTAATGTACAGATTCGTCTCAGTTAGAATCTTATTATATGTATAGATAAATTGTGTAATGTAATAAATAGATGGATTTGACTGTCGTGAATATACCAAATAATCTCTACTAAAATATTAGACAAACTAGTTTGGAGGCTTTCAGGTCATTAATCAGCATATTAGAAGATTAAAATTGGAAGTATTTTAATGTTCTGGCATTTTAAAGCTAGGAGTATTATTGAATAATAATATATAGGTATACATATATGTATATAGTAATAATATATAGGTATACATATACTCAGCACCATCTAGTTCCATGGTAACCTACGAAGCCTGTGTTATGGATACCAGATAGTTGATACACTACACATATATAACTTTAAATACATACATGTTATAAGTATAAACACCCATGATTGGAATATAAATTCGCATCCGCGCTCATCACACAAATGAATGCCCCCAGCGAGACTCGAGCCCGTGACCGTTGGCGCAGCAAGTAGGGTCACTACAAACTGAACTAAACGTGTCGTCAAACACACATGATTATGTAAAAAACATTTCCAAATAGATAAGAGATAGTGAATCTGGGTGCAAAAGTAATCTGAAACAAAATCGATAGTGACAGGCCTTATAGCATCTGCCTTTCCTTGCTCTAAAATTGTTTCGATACACGCTGTATTTTGTAATTAAAAAAAAAATTAACCGATTGTTGCAAAAGGAGGTAATGAATTATGTGTGCTTATTAGTTTGATATTCAGGTTATAAAGCTTGAAAGTAGACAGAGAAGTTCGAAGGAAATTATCTGAGTTCGTATGGACAGGTGAAGAGGATGAGTGAGAAGAGAAGAGTGATGAAAATGAATGTAGATGGATGGGAGGTAGAGGAAGAGGAGTGTGAGATAGAACATGAAAGAGAAAGTATGAATGATGAGCTGACGAGCAATAGAGGAGAGTGGAAGAGGAAGACGTTCTGCGCTGACCATTGGATGTTTAGGAGATTCGTTCTGTTAGACTTACTCAGTTTATTAGACCAGTAAACTAAATCAGTTAAATAAAAGCGTAGTTTGCATTTTCAAACTGCTCTCATTAGGACTTAATCGTCTAGAGCCGTTTTTACTGGCTTATTTTAGTTCTTTTCAGAACAGCAACTTTGCACAAAAGCATTGATAAGTTTTATGCATAACTCGCACATTTTACCTCTTTTATCTACTTACTCAAAAAAATACTTTTTAATTACACAGACTTAACATATTTATGTGTATATTTTTTTGTCTTCGTGGATATTTTATTAATTCAAACTTGTAATTGAAATAATATGAAATAGTACCTCGTGGTCAAAAATGGGACATAATAATTCATAGAGTTTGAGCGTTTTAGAGGATCTTTAATCAAATTTACAGACAGAAGTTTGTAGCCTTTCTCAATAAATCTATACTAAAATTATAAAGAAGCAGTTTATTTGAACGCGCTTATCTCAGGAACTACTAATCCGAATTGAAAAATTATTTTTGTATTAGATATCTCGTTTTATGAGGAAGGCTATAGGATATATTATATATATCGTATAATATATAGTCTATTTAGTCCACACTACCCGTGAAAAAGTACCTAGGGACGAACACGAATGAAGCGAGAGTGAGCCGCTAGTACTCAATAATTCCATAATAATTCCAAAATAATAGTATATTCTGAAACATTTTGGATAAACCTGTTTGGCCTAGGATAAACTAGTTTGGTCTAAAACCTAATTTGGCCGGTAACATATAAATATAAAAACTATTTAACATATTTTGTAACTAACTTGATAAAAGCTATGTTACTAAACTTGTATAAAATAATTAATGCAGAAAAATTCTTGTTAAAACAGATTATGCTAACGCAGTACTTAAACGTTGGTAATATCTTATGGAAAGACCGATATTCGTCAAGTTAACGACTTCTTTAAGACGACACAAATAGATACTCTAAATTATAATGCTGGAGATTTCTCTTGTTGAAACATTTGGTTTTATTTAATCTTAACAGTATGTATACATTTCTCAGAGATGATATATTTTCCCGCAGTAAAAAGTATCCTTTATGTTGACCAGGATAGCCAGCTATCTTCATATCAAATTTCACCAAAATCTGTGGTTTTCTCGTGATACGTTCTCATACAGACAGAAAACAAAAATTCAAAAAACTATAGATTCGACCTCTGTGTCGATATGTGACGATAATGACTATTTCAATAAGATTTTCTAATAAACATTTAATGTACAGATTCGACTCAGTTAGAATTTTATTATATGTAATAAAAATATACATATTTAGTTATCTTAGAACTCGGATCTTGAAATAAGCAAAGCTTTGCAACGATAAGTGTGGATAGAAGCGAAAGCATAAGCTTATAACTTGTAAGTGCTTTCACTTTTTTAGGCAAATGTGAAGCTTTTCCGATTACTTTTATCTATTAAACCAAATTTATGAAGCTTAAACATGTTTTAAATAAATTTCCAGTAAAAAGTCCAATCTACTCAACTATCTCATATAATTAATCCAAAAAAATATTCAAATCATTTAAAACCTATAGACAGACAAAAAATCGTTTCATTTTTTATATAATATGTACAGTATTATAATAATTACTCAATCTCAATTTTCAATATACGTATTGGTTTCGTTAATTAAAATATATTACATACATATAAACATTAAATACGGCGAATCAATTTGTATCATTTAATAGAATGCTTTTGGTTAATTGGAATCATTTCTATAACGTCGCGATTAATGAAAAACGTCACGTCAAATTGACATAATTTACTCCAATGACAGTAACATCCATACTAATATTATATATGTGAAAGTGTGTTTGTTTGTTTGTCTTTCTTTCACGTCGAAACGGACAGACGGATTGGTGTGATTTATTGTATGGAGATAGTTGGAGAGCTGGAGAGTGACATAGGCTATTTTTACCGCGCGAAATTATCTAATTCCCACGGGAAAACACGTTTTAATACAATTCAAAAAATATTTATGATCAAAATGACTTAAAACTTAGTATTAATGCTCTTCAATAAAATTAAATGAATACGTGTTATAGCATTTTTCGAAATTCATGCTAAAAGGGGGTTAAATAGGGGCTGAAATTTTTTATAAAGCCTACCTAAACTACACTAAACTTCTTTTTAGAGATATTTTTAGTAATTTTAGCGCGAGCGAATGAAATTACATAATCATGATTTACTATATGATAATATGGCTGATTTTGGCTCATTTGGTCAAGTAGTGGATATCTACGGTGGTTCTAAGTTTGAGATGGGACTAAAATCATCGGACCCAATAATGCTACTGCCTTTCTCTGAAGGATTTTCAGGCCGTCAATTTTTAGTTGAAAAGTTAGTGGTTCTATACCTTGTACCTCAAGTAAAGACATCGGTTTTATACCTGATTGTTTTTGATTGTTGATATCTAAAAAATAATTGATGATTTTTGATAAAAACATAGCCTATTTATTAAATACATCCTCCTTTTCTGGCCTTTTTAAGTCGTTTGGAAAATAAAATAAGTTTATAACCGCAATTTTTTTGTGGTGTAACTACAAGTTTACGGTTTTCGGATTTTTCCCTTTATTTGTGATATAAGACAATGCTTCTTGTCAAATTTCATGATTCTAGGTCAATGGGAATATTACCCTATAGGTTTGGATTCCTTTTCGAATGTGTGCGACATAAACGACCGCACGTTTCATATCATAGCGTTTCATAGTAGTCGCCGGTCACTAATGAGAGATTGCATAGGCCCCCTCGACAAGGTGAACAGTGAACACACATTGCATACTTGAGTATTTGATTTTAATTTTAACTTGATACCTTCCCGCGTTCTTGAGACAGGACAAAATGGTCTTGAAAGACAGACAGTCAAAAAGACGGACTGACAAACTGATAGAAGGGTTTCTTTTTTCCTTTTGAGATACGGAACCCTAAAAAGTAGTAATACTAAAACTTAGCGATACCACGCCGTTATAATAAGGTGCTAAAGAGCATTTCTAATAGATCGAGGTTAATAGGGTGCGTACTACTTAATATTATAGTGCCTACTCTAAAAGCCTTAACCACAAGCAATTATGCTGTAATTATGACAAAATCTTACTAAATTATCTTAAACATAATATGGGACATCGACAATAAGTTATTAACAGAAATCATATATAATTGCATGTCATTTGCATGGTTGAAACGAAGCTGACCACGCCCCACAGATGTACACACGTGGTAGTAGCGGCGAATGAGATAACCTTTGCTTTGACCATTAAATACATGTAATAGATATTTGAGGTTGTTAATAATTAAGGACAAGAATAGCCTCACCCAAATCAAACAATTTGAATTGTGATTTTGACTTGAATATGATTGTAATAATTATATAATACTAGCGACTAACCTCGCTTCACTCAGGTGTATTGGATTGCTACACTGTAGCTTACGTTTTACTCCAGGTTGAACTCTATCTGTATACTTAATTTTATCCAAATCTGTCTAGCCTTTTCAAGGTGAAAAACTAACAAACAAACATACACATACAAAATTTTGGCTCTTATAATAGTAGTTTGATAGTCCTATTAACCGATTTCAAAGAAGGAGTTTTCAATGCTTACTTTGCAGTTTTTTTTCGAAACCCTAAAATATTTATGCAAAATTATTATAATATTTTATGTATAAAATACTGATTTTTTTCTAGCTTAGAGTTATACATTTAAAAACAATTGCCAAAAGTCCGCTTATAGCTTTTATGAGCCAATCTATAGACATTAAATTTCGTGTAGGTAAAAAATATAGTTAAAGGCGATCAACGATACTACTGTTCATCGTAGGTTAAAGGTGTATTTTATAGTGATTAAAATTACTAAAAGTGTTTATATTATATACCTAACTAGCTACTCACCCTCGCTTCGCTCGGTTTCGTCCCATTTTAATGTTTAGTATACATTTCTCAGAGATGAGAGATTTTCCAAAAGAAAAATTTATACTATATGTTGACCCGGATAACCAGCTATCCCGGGGGAGAAGCCAACTCCTACCGGGCGCGTCCCCAGGTGGCGGATAGGGGCATGCCACCCGCTTAGAGGGGCGGGTGGTACCGGAGAAATCCGGCGCGGACCAAATGGCTTGGATGGGGCCGCTCGTCTAGGCCTCGAGCCGAAGACGTTGCGGCCACCGGTGGTGGGACCGCTTGGTCCCACAACCGGATGATGGGTGCCGGTTGCGGGACTGTGGTCGCAGGCCCGCATTCGGCGGAGGGGTAGGCCGCGGCGGGAGAGGAGTGCCGGTATTTCGGTGCGCCGTTCTCCCTACCTTCCGCGGCCTAGACGGGGCCGCCACCGTTTGATGGCGGACGCGGTGGGGCTGCAGGGGAAGAGGAGTGTCGGTGTTTCGTTGCCGCTCTCCCTGTCCTCTGCAGCCGATTGGAGGTGGCCCACTTCGGTGGGCGGTGTTTTGGTTTTATGGGGCTGCTCCGGGTACCTCTCTGACGTAGCAGAGTTGACTGTGGAGCAGCGCCATTGGTTTGGTGGTCTGCCTAGTATTTAGGCAGACCTGCCGCCGGGGCGCCGTAGTAGTTATGCGCAAGCGATCCTGCGGCGTCCCACTAAGGCGGGGGGAAGGGACGTCGGGTTTTAGTGGGTAGTACCGGCTCTTCTAGCCGGTGAGCCCCACATCACCACCTGGGGGATCAGGTGGTATGCGTAAATGCATTTCCCGACGATAAAAAAAAAAAAAAAAAAAAAAAAAAAAAAAAAAAAAAAAAAAAAAAAAAAAAAAAAAAAAAAAGATAACCAGCTATCATCATACAAATTTCATCAACACCTGTACAGTGGTTTTCTCGTGATGGTCTAACAGCCAGACAGACAAAAATTCTGAAAACTATAAATTCGGCCTCTGTATCGATAATAATGGCTATTTCAATAAGATTTTCCATAAAATATGTAATGTACGGATTTGACTCAGTTAGAATTTTATTATAGGTATGTATAGACTATAAGTTAGCTACAAAA